CTGTGCCTAGTCTCTTACAGTCTTGACGTCCTAACACCTTACCTCCTGTTTCAGACACTGCCAGCTCTTCACCAAGACATCTTACCATCTTTTTTTCTAATCACAAGCAATTCTCCAATCATAATGACAAAGAAATTCCTTTTAGCCAGTAGAATATAAACAGGAGAAATACATGCTATTTGTTGTTGGAAGACGTTGCTGACTGGTCAGAGGTAGCAACCTCTCCATGGCCTAACAGCTTATCTCAATAGCTTCAACAAAGATTCTTGCTCTCTACCTGCCCTTATCTGGAGAATGTCCTTGGGTCTGGAGGACTGAAAGCTGTCTCTAAACCAGATGCCTGATTCATCTTTAGTTTGTCCTTTAGTACAGATCCCGGCTGAAAAGACCTGTACTAGGGGCTCTGCTCTGCCACATACTAAGCCTTATGATAATGCAAATTAGAGTTTGTTCCCAGGCTTCCAAATCCTAGATATTACTTATACACTGGAATAAAATTGAGCTGATTCACTGAAATCTGTATCCTTGAGGACTGTCTCTGTTTGTGCTCATGGACTACTAAAGTTTTCTGTTACCCCATCTCTCCCCTCTTGGCCAATAAACCCAGAGGAAAAGAGGACTCCCAGAATTCATGAGTTTTAATCTAAAATAATGGATGGATTTCTCTTTCATATTCCCTTTCTGCTTTTCTAGATGATCTCGGAAATAGTGTAGTCTCCTCTCAAAGGAGACAGGCCAACTACTGACTACATGAATCATAATGTAAATATTTTTGGAGACAGAAGTTTACCAAAAGACTCATGACCCACAGATTGAGAACCTCTGATCTACACAAATATCTCTAGACACTTTCCAAGCAAATCTGAAGACACTGTAGAAACACAAAATGAGCAAGCTGAACCAATTAAACAAGGTTCAATAGAGTCAGGATATGAACTTTCATGGCTGAAGATGAATAATAAAGGGAACAGTACAAAACTGCTTTGAGTAACATGTTTATTTTCACCTAATTCTGTTCTTTGCTTACTTCTGCTCTACCAGCCACAGAGCACCCTCTGATTTTAGTTAGTGTGTGTGTGTGTGTGTGTGTGTGTGTGTATACATATACATATATATATATATGTATATATACACATATATGGAACTATAGTTCCCATGATGGGCTGGGTTCCACTAATTGCCAACCAACTATTATGCTATATTTACAACCCCTCCATGTGTTCAGATAGGTTTCTTGCAAAATAATTGTACTGGCTGGTTTTGTATCAACTTGACATAAGCTAGATTCATCAGAGAGGAAAGAGTCTAGTTGAAGAAATATCTCCATGAGGTCCAGCTGTAAGGCATTGTCTCAATTAATGATCAATGAGGGAGCACCCAGTCCATGGTGGGTTGTCCATCCCTGGACTGTTGGTCCTTGGTTCTATAAGAAAGCAGGCTGAGCAAGCCAGGGGAAACAAGCCAGTAAGCAGCACCCCTCCATGGCCTCTGCATCAGCTCCTGCCCCCGAGATCCTACCCTGTTTGAGTTCTTGTTCTGACTTCCTTAGGTGATTAACAGCGATATGGAAGTATAACTGTAAATAAACTCCTCCCGAAGTTTCTTTTTGGTCATGGTGTTTCATTGCAGCAACAAAAACCATAAGTCAGTAACCAAATGACAATTTGATCTCTGTAGTCAACATTAATCCTATATACTATGGTTATAACACAATTCAGGCAGAGGTCAATCTGCACTTTATTTCTTGCGACAGGAACTCCCACTAGCCTAGAATTTCCCAAGTAGGCTAAATTACATGACCAACAAGTCCCAAAGATCTGCTTGCCTCCTTCTTACACTGAGACTACAAGTATGAACTAGTATAACTTACTTTTTTCACATGGATTCTGGGTGTCAGAGTTCATGCCCACAGCTTGCATGCCAAGCACTATACTGAGCTACCTCCTGGCTTTAAATTACTGTTTCTGTAACAATTATATAAAAACTAAGCCAATCTTATCAGAAACCATGCAAGCAAACAGATTAACAGAATAAGCTCTTCTGCATATACAAAGAATTTCGTCAATGTAGGCCTCTCACTAAGCAGCAGTAAATTCTAAAGACAAAACAGAATACTTTTTGGAAAAACAAACATAGCTGAGAGAATTTGGCACACAGCAAATACTGACCATACTACTTTAGTCCTAGATAACCACAAAATAAATATGGAAATAAAAAATTCAGCTCAAAACATGGTATACATGAAATGAAATACCAAGATATGAAAAAAGGAAGAGTAAGTATGTGGGAAGTGAAAAGCGTACATGTGGTAGGTTCTTCAACCACTTCAGTAATTATGCTAACTATAAGTAATTCAAGTACTCTAATCATAATGTTGATTCATAGATTTAATTTCATGGAGATGTGATATAAATATATGCGATCAATAGCAACACAAAGGATAAAGAAAACCAACAACAACAACAACCCTACTTTAAACATAAAGATTCAGAGATGAGAACTAAAAATTAGGGAAAGCTGTTTCAGATGAATAGTTATCACTAGATCACTTGAGAAGAAGAATTGAGAGCCTATGTGAATTTTTTGTTGTTGTTTTGTTTTTCCGAAACAAGGTCTCTCTGTGGCTTTGGAAGCTGTCCTGGAACTAACTCTTGTAGACCAGGCTGGTCTCGAACTCACAGAGATCTGCCTGCCTCTGCCTCCCAAGTGCTGGGACTAAAGGTGTGTGCTACCAACGCCCGGCTGAGCCTATGTGAATTAACAGGAAGTGAATTTTGGGGCCAGAGTTATTCGCAGAGATAATATCCTCAGCTGTATAAGGGTTAATTCATTTGAAGATATTAAAAACACAACTGTGCTTAGGCTTGATGCTATAACTCCACAATTCATGAATGCAATAAAGTAAAATAAAGAGACAATAAAAAAAATCTGTGCTTAAAATTTTTTATTTCTCTGTAATTGATAAAAGCTAATGGATAAAAGCATCAGTAAGGGGATTTGATGCATTTGAACAATGCATCAAAGTAATTGACTATTTGGCCTTTTATTAAACACACTAGGAAAAAAAATGCCTCCAAACAAATGAGAATTCTTTTATGGATGTAATGCAATTAACCTAGTTTCATTTCTGTTGCTGTGCTAGAATATCATGACCAAAAGCAACTTGGGTGGCAGGGAAAGGGTTATTTTAGGTCACAATTCCAGATCACAGCCATCACAGCAGGAGAGCAAGGCAGAAGGCCATATCCAGATTCAGGCTACACCAAGGACAGCACTCAGCATGTCCCTCCACCAGACTGGGTTCTGTAAGTGTTTGTCACAGGAGGCACAATCACATCCAAGAAGAACCCAGGGAGCAAAAAGGCCCTCTGCCTTTTCTCCTGAAGGTTCCCTCACAGTTCACCATGTTCTTTTGTTCCAACAACTTCTATGCCAGCTAACATCATGGAAGCATTTTTCTCAACTAGGATTCCTTCTCCCCAGATGCATCTAGGTTTGGGTCAAGCTGACAAAAACCAACCAGCACAGGGTTTTATACAAAGTAATCAGTCATCAAAGCAGAGTGGGAGAGTATTTGCCAGCTCTTCATCTGTTATAATCTGTTATAATATCCTTGATATATGAAGGACTAAAAAGTGTACCTAACCTAAAACTACTCCAATCAAATAAGCAAAGAACCTGTCTAGCCATTTATCAGAAGAAGTACAAGTAGCTTATACATACATACATATACATATACATATACATATACATATACATATACATATACATATACATATATACATACATATATATATATATATATATATATATATATCAATTCTTGTCTTATAAGGAATAAAAATCAAAGCTATAATGAGAATATATTCCATACTACCTGGAATAGCAATTATTAAATTTTTTAAAGTTGCTGATAAAGATGTAGAGAAAAAGCAATAATTATATAGTATTGGTGGGAATGTATATTTATAATATAGCCACTCTGAAAAGCAATATCGAAATTCCTCCAAACCAAAAATATCACTATCATAGGATCCTATTGCAGTTAAATAAGGATCAGGATAAACAAATAGGCCGAATAAATGTTTATTCAGGGAGAAATAACTTACAACCTAGACAGATGAACACCAGCAAGTTCCACCAGATGCTCTCCTGTCCGAGACCGCAAGAGAACGTTTCCCGGCTCTTCCTCAGACCTCCTTCCTCAGGTCACTTCCGTCCATGGCTCCACCCCCCAATGGGCGTGGTCAGTGCCACAGAAGGAGACAAAGTAAATACCTCACTACAGGATCCACTTATTCTAATCTTATATGTGTGTCTAAAATAAGTGAGTCAACATTAAAAAATAATTGCATGCATATTCATATTTATTCCGATACTATTCCCAATATATAAGGCATGGAATCAGCCTAGAGACCCATCAACAAATGAAGGTATAAAACCACAGTATCTACACAACACACAGTGAAGTATCATTAACCTATAATGAAGAAGAAAACTTTGTTATCTGAAGGAAAATACATGGAATTGGAGTGCATTGAGCTGAGCCAAATTAGCCAGATACAAAGTCAAGAAGTGCATGTTTTCTCTTACATGCAGAAATACACAAATCAAAATATCCGAAAGCAGAAGAAGGACATAAAGGGGGCTGAGGGAAGGATGGTGGGAAAGGACAGAAACGAGGATGGGTACCTTTATGCACAGCATATACATGTATTGAAATGTCACAGTGGAACTCATTAATGCATACAATTAACTTGAGTTAAAATGATGACAATATAAGGAAAATTTGTAGAGAATGAGCTAGACAAATGGCTCTTTTTAATGCTCACTGATCCAGTATCTAATGCCATTCATAAGACTTCACACTCATGACCTAATCAGTAGCATCTGTCTCCATGGTCAAATGGTTTATCCATCAGCAATGGATATGTAGCAATAAAGACAAAATTACTTTAAGCTGTTATAGGAGAAAACATCCATAACTAATAATTTCAGTATTAAGCCTCTTCCTGTGGGAGGAGCTTCCACCTCACTGAGGGATCAAGTTCCTTTTCAAAACAATCCAGCTCCTGCTCCTTGGGGAGCTCCAGGAAGACCTTGAAGAGAGGGGGTGGGTGGGGGAGCTAAGATCATATTGCTTCTTATAACACTGAATTCAAAGACCATGCATTTAGTCTTTGTAAGGCAAAGTCACTGAAATTGACCCACCTGCTCCAGGGTGGACTGTGAGAGGCTGTATTCCTCCAGGTCAAAGCTCTGTTTAACTGTGTAAGGATAACCATATGTCAGGATTCTTGTATGTTAAGTCTTGTATGCTTACTAAATCACCACAAGGCACAACTAGCAGCTGGGAACCATTAAGTGAAGTGACAAACATTCTTTTTTCTGAGCACTCTGCACAACTGTAATTAATGTGTACAATGTTTGCTTAGATTTGGAGGGGGAAGAGCTGGTGCTACATTTGCATGCTGTGCAGTTTCTATGGTCTGCATCATGGGACACAGCGATGCCTAGAAGACTTTCTTCCCCAGTGAACCATTGCTTCAGTAGACTTGGCACAGAGGCAGGTTGCAGGGAAAGAGATTTTTGAAAAAAAAAAAAAAAGAAACACATAGAGACAACCTCAAAGGTTATCTAACAAGCTACTACAGCATTGAAAACTCTCTGTTTAATCAATTTATACAGAAGGACAGTTCTATATAAATGGTATATAGGGTTTTTAGTGGAAAGATGCCACCAAAAAAAAAAAAAAAAATCCCAGAAGAACCATGGCAGTAATGTTAATCTTAATCTTAGTCGTACGGCAGTAATGTTAATCTTAATCTTAGGCGTACTGTGAAGGATCACATGTCCCAGAAAGTTTAGGTGCTAAATTTAGACAATGGGATGAAGACACATCAAAGACAGCTTTGGATGTTGCCAGCAGAAACCAGAAGATATCTATGGGGCAAGAGTTGGCTATCTCTTTCTTAGTAGGAGAAGTGACAGCCAAGAGGAGATATTATTGAGCAGTACAAAGGGCTCCTGGGATAAGTCATGCAAGCAGCCATGAAATCCAAAGGTGGACAAGAGAAATCTGTGCAAAAGGGATGACTAGAATGTGTTCAAATTTACACTGAAGACCCTCAATGGATACCAGAGTATTCACACTCATATAGGAATTTACAGATCATGATTAGCCCGAGTCAATAAAATAAAATTTACTTTAATGTATACACTTTCAATATGATCTCTAAAAGGAAATAGAATTTTAGATCTAAAAGGATACAACCTTCAAAATATAGTGAGTTTTGCCTTATATGCAAAGTAAAAGAAAGAAAAAAATATGAAACAAAAGTGGAAACAACAACCCTTGTCATGCACGTGCCATACAGAACAAGCTTACTCCCTTTAGTTTTCTGCTTCTATATTTTAAAATGAACTTTGAGTGTTCCTATTTAGCACAGAATGCTCTAATTCAACTTCTTGCCGCTGTGGGTTCTTTTAAGTTCTGGGATTATTTGCTCTCGGTCTCATCTCTAACTAGCCTCTTACCTGTCTCTAACTTGAAGAAGGCTTAGGATAAATGTTACACACCCTCCCTGGGCAGTTTATAGACCATCAGAGAAGAGTACCTGAGGAGAAAGGAAGGCTAGGTTGACCTCTAAGCACATAAGTTAACATGCATACCATTCACTTCTTCTTTCCATTAGGAAGACGATTTGGCACAGTTGAATGCCTGGGAGTGAGCCCACTGAGGCAGGTCAGTCAGTTGGCAAGGAGGATGAGAATTGGTTCAGTATCTTGGGCTCCTTAGAAGGATATGGGTAGGACCAGTCTAAGCAACATTTTGAGACTGGTCTTTCCCACCTGGTCTCAGGTTTCTTATTCCATCTCACGCCTTCCTAGAATTTCCAAACTTCACAGGCATCCAGGTGGCCCAAATGGCCTGCCGATATTGTCAAGAGAAGAACTTCAATGCATGGAGTCCTCCGACTCTTCCGGATGTTATAGGAAATTCCACATGGCAGAGATGAGAAACAATGAATGCAGACTAAGCAAGATGGAGTCAGGAGGAAGAGGATTATCAAGCCAGTTTCCAGAGAAACATCGGTGGTAGATACATCAGAGGCTGTCACGAGGAAACACGCGGAAGGACAGGTGGAAGACATTCTGAGTGGAAAGGAGGACAGACTGAGAAAGTCAGGTACACAGCGCCCTCCTGGGAACCTTCTGTGTTGAGGAGCGATGCACAGAGGGTTCACAGTGACAGCATGCAGAAACCCAGGCCTCGTGAGCTGCGCGACAAACCAGGATTAGGGCCGCTGATTGTATTAACATGAACCCTTTTGAAATCACAAGTCCGATCAGGCAGGTTAAAGCTGTATAAGGATTGAATTTGACAGAGAATATGGATGGTGTTGGGCAAACTGTTTGTCATCTAACAATACTGATAAAATTCAAGAACTCCCCAACAACTGTGGTTGCAGCCTTGAGGGTGACAGCTCCTTACCATATCTGCTGCTGCCCCTCTGGGTCCATCACCGTTGATTGCTCATCCAGAAGTGCCACAGACGGGTTCCCCAGAATGCTCAGCGCAAAGCACAGCTGTAACAAGGACAGCCCGTCGGGCACCAGCCTTAAGTGTGCTTGGAGTATCAATGGGCCCTGTTCATACCTTTCTCTTCACTCCCTCTGATAATGTCTTCACGGGAGCCTTCATCTGGTCCTGCAGCTTGAGCGCATCAGCCAACCTGAAGAGAGACAGTGAGTACCACAGTCCATTCCACAATGGAGAGAGATGATGGGCATATAAGGTGGTGAGCCCGGGCAAGATGGAGGGTTAGGGTGCAGGCAGGCAGTTCAGGAAATGTGTGGAAACATTCAAGAAGGTTAGGCTGACAAAGGTTGTGATTTCCCCTAGCTAGAGAGATGCATTTACTGTTTGTGAAACTATTAGTATAATGTAAAATATTTCTATAATTTAGATTGTAATTAAATGTTGAGTACGCTCAAACATTTACCATTGAATATTAACCATTTCCATGTGTGCTTAAAGTGAAAGTGGAGAAAACGTTGGAAGTTTCCTCTACCCCACCTAGGCAAGCAATAGAGCCTCCTATCCCAAATGTATTGTGAAAGTGGCTGCCTCTGGCCTTCTCCCCATCACCTGGGTACACAAGCAAACAGGTGCAGACCCCTGTGTACCGTGCAATGGACACTGCGGCATCGCCTTTGCTCATCCCCTTCACGGCAGCAAATATCTCCAGGTGTTCCCTCACCATTAGGTTGGGCCACAGAGCGTTTTCCTGATGACAGTACCCCAGGAACCCCTGGGTGTCCTCTCTTCTGTTTCCTTTCAGCAGAACCTACAGATAAAAGGTCAGTGTCAGGGATCTCTCTCTTCACTGATCCTCAAAGAACTGCTGTGACCACATGATCTCACAAAGAAGAAAGCATTCGTTCACAGAACGAATGCATGAACTCAAGTGTGTACAAAGGTGTCACACCATATTGGAATTACTGATGGTTGTGAGCCACCATGTAACCAAACACAGGTCCTCTGCGAGAGCAAATGGTCTTAGCCACTGAATCATCTCTCTAGCATCAATAATGCTATACATCAGTAATGAACATGTTGAGAAAGAAACTCATCTACAACAAGTACACAAAGTAAGATATATTGCGGTAAACCTAACAAATGAGTGGAAGAAAATCTCTATAATTAAAAGTATAGGATAATGGAAAAAAGAAGCTGAAGACACTGAAAAATTAAGCAAAAAGATGAAGTGAAAGCTGAAGAGGGGCTACTAGAGACTGGAGAGATGGGTGGACAGAGAGTGGAGGAAAAGGGAGGGGAGGGAAGGAGAGGGGAGGGGAGAAGGGTAGAGTGAAGTGGAGAGAAGTGGAATGGAGTGGAGGGGAAGGCCAGGGAGAATTTGGATGGCTGGATATAAATACTATACCACATTTGCTTGCATGACAATATCAGAGTGAATGGCATTAACTTTCACAATTAATATGTATTAATTAAAGAAAAACCATATGATGCTATGGGTGGAATAATGGCCTTGATGACACTGAAAGGGGACAGGAACTCTTGAGTTTCAGCCACTTGCCCAAAGTCACAAGAGGAGTGACTAAGTCACACTGGGTGGGAGAGAGGCAGAAGTCAGCGAAAAGGCTCCTTTTACCCTGTGGTCAAGATATCAGGATGGGATAGCAGAGTGTAGATCAGTTCCCTGGTAAACAGTGTTGACCATTAGGGAAGCAACAACAGTGACTGAATAGGTGTTTTCCATGGTTCAACAACAACAAAACTGTGTGATTTCTCATGCCAGTGTGACTGTGCCCCTATTCAGAGGGAAAAACCATTTCCATCAAAAAAGATGCAGTCAAGGTCACTCTACTGGGGAAAAAAAAGAAATGATGTAGCTTCGGAAGCATGCAGAAAGAAGGGACAGGAACTCTAAATGTTTGGAGGGTGCTCCTGAGCAGAACCTGTGTCCAACCTTTTCGAACACAGAAAGAGATATTTCTTGTTGCTATCTTCTTCTTGCTCTTACAAACAAAGCATTTCTTCTTTCCCCTGTACTCCTTGAGAAGACAGCTGACAATGATAGCTGGCTTCTGCAAACAACAAGACATCCCAGTGAGCGGTTGTTAAACGCACAAATCTATAGGTAGCTTCTCAAAACCAACTTACATTGCCCTTTGGTGTTTTTTGTTAGTACAGCTATAATCTATGTAATCTCATTGATGTCCAATAAATAGATATTTTAATCCCAAAACTATGCCTTGACATGAAAGAACAACAAGAAATACTTCTCTTGTGTTTTAGTGATACTTTAAAATATTTTTGAAGTACATCTGCAACTGTAAATTTTACCTAACGCCTATTAATTTAGAATTTAATAATGTTTCAAAATAATGCAAATTTTATTATTGCTTTGCAGGTAAGGATGAATTGTTAGCCTTCGAAGAGACTTGATTTCTCATCTCACTGGCTCCCTTTGGTTCACTGAAGGAAAAGATCTACTGTAAAAAATAAAATAACAGAAACAGGTATAATAAAGCCTGTCATTTACTTTTGGTTTTAAAGTACTAATCACATACCTTATTGTACAGAACATCTTGAATATCATTTGTGGGTGGCGAGTGTTTGTATCAGTTTGGGAACAATCATTAGGGTAAAAAAAAAAAAAAACAAAAACTTATGGTCAGTTGAATAGAATCTCTCAACATTCCTGCTGGGAAGGTGGGCTCATCTTTAGCCATGATAAAGAGATAGGTGCATCACTTCCTTCCTCAATGAGATGCTGTGCTCACTCGGACACCTCCAGGAATCTTCGCCTGCAGTACAAGAGCTTATGGGCTACATATAGCTGTGCAAGGGCCCTGAAACCTGCCATGCTTTCTGAATGTTTGTGAAAACTGAAACTACTTTTTTCCATCTCTTTTCTAAGCATGTGTTCCTCAACTTACCACTTTGGGCTTTTCTCCCAACATTTGGGCTTCCTTGTTCTTTCTCTAAAGCACCCTCCCTGCAGTGTGGCTGCTCATCCACCATGTGTCTGATCTCCAAGCAAGCTTAAAATGCCATGAGTGTTTCCTTCTGCCCTCCCTTCTCCCTTTCTGGATGCCTGCTATGGTGTTAGAGTTCTCCTGCCATGGGGGTTTTCTCTAAAACTATGATAAAATTAAGTTTCCATCTTAGCTTATTTCAGTAATGAGACTAAGAACCCCCCCCCCAAAGGGCACCCCAACTTCCACGGTATCACAATCATTCAGAAGGTAATGAGGACAAGGTAATCTAGTAGCTGGATATATTTACTAGTGTTTGAAAGAGTTTAAAAGGGTTACAGATTCCAATGAAAAGAATAAAAAGCCCACTGGGACACCCATGGGGGCTTAGATATACAACAGTAAAGGAAGAAATTTGCTTAGTGCCTGAGGAACTCAGAAAGCTTGGTAACCACTGCCCAGCATTTTGCTATTCTTGTTTGTTTTTACATTTATTTATTTGGTTACTTTGTGTGTGTGTGTGTGTGTGTGTGTGTGTAAGAGACACACACACACACACACATACACAGAGAGAGAGAGAGAGAGAGAGAGAGAGAGAGAGAGAGAGAGAGAGAGAGAGAGAGGGTGGGAAGAGAAAGATCAATTTTAAGAGTTTGTTCTCTCCTATCACAATGTAGGAACTGGGGATTGGACTCAGATCATCAGTGTTGGTGGCAGGTGCCTTTATCCATTCAGCCACCCAACTCTCCCACCCAAGTGGCGATTTCCAAATGTAGAATCCAAAAGTGAATGAAAACACAAAAAGACTAATATGTTTCTGGTTGTGTTCTTGAATCTTGAATTAAGCATCCTCACTTTCAAGCTCCCCAGATACATACTCCCATTTCTTTTTATATTATAGGTTGTTAGAAGATGCACATGACCCCACTGGCTAGGCTCCTCACTCCATCAGCAAGAGAATTATTGTTGCTGTCATAATTGCCCTCCACAACTCTGTGGTTCTTTTTGGATTGACTGTCCCACCCCCAGCTCTCCAGTACACAAAGCAGTTGTCATTCAAACTAATCTTTTTGGATGTGATGATTCTTGGGCCTCTCCTGCATACAGTGACAGATGAAGCCCTGGATTTCCTGTGTTTCTGTTTTGACATGGCACCACAATCATCTTTAAGATCCAGAACCCATGTTGTGATCATTGCATATATGTTCCCGTAGTTCTTTCTTCACCACAGCCTGATGGACAGGTTGTCTATGAGAACCTTTATACAAAATCATTTAGTAAAGAATACAACACCATTTGGTTTCTCCAAACCTAAAAGCAGGATCCATTCTCATAGTTTTCATTCCAGTCTTGCTTTCCAGACATCGAAGAATAATGAGGAAGATGACAAAATGAAGGAAAGACTAAGGGAAAGAGAGACATTGCCAATTACAAATTCCAAATGTTAACATCAGCAGCAGTACCCTGCAAACTTAGCCTTCTACAGATCTATATGAGACATTCATATTTTCAAAATTTTCAGAAATTTTGGAACAGAAACACTGGAAGTGTTCACACTATGCTACATTATATTATGTGTTGAACTTCATTCATACTTAGTTCACACATACTGTGTGTGTGTGTGTGTGTGTGTGTGAGAGAGAGAGAGAGAGAGAGAGAGAGAGAGAGAGAGCATGCATGTATGTATGTGGGTGTGTGTGGAGGACAAAGGATGACATCAGGTGTTATTCTCAATCACTCTCCAGCTTATTCATTAAGCCTTATTTCTGTCTATCACTTGAACCCAGACATTGTTGGGTGTTGAACACAGCTAGCTAGACCGGGGGATCCCTTATCTCTACTTCAGAGATATCATACCCACCCAGCATTTAAGTGAATACTGGAGAGATAGACCCTAGTCCTGCCTCTTGTATAGTAAGCAGTTTATCCATTGATCCATATCCCCAACCCTCTAGTGCAGTCCTCAACCTTCCTAATGCTACAACCCTTTAATACAGTTCCTCACATCATGGTGAGCCCCAGCCATAAAAGTATTTTCATTGCTACTTTATAACTGCGATTTTGTTACTATTATGAATTGTAGTGTAAATATTTTTGGAGATAGAGCCAGGTTGAGAATTACTGCTTCAGATGTCTTTAGAATTGGAAGATGCAACTTATTTTGTCACTGGATATTTGTTTTTAAAATGGCTCTCTATATAAAAACATATTGCTTTTCTGGAACTTAGTTGTATAAAACATCTTAATTTTAAAACCAGGGCTGGGGGTGTTGTTCAGTGGCAGGACATTTGTGAAACAGGTACAAGTTATAGATTTGATCTCCAGAACTGAAGTTTGATTCCCCCCCAGCAAAAAAAAAAAAAAAAAAAAAAAAGGAACAAGAAAGACGCCTTGGAGTATTTACTTAAGGGCCTTTCAAGGGGTTACTTACTACTAGGAACAACAGAATGGTATAGTCCCTTGTTGGCTCTTCAATACCTATATCAAAAAGTGCACACTTCTGCAAAAGAAAGGACAATTTAAATGCAAAGGTTTATAATTTATAAATTTTATCCAAACATGAATAGGCCATCAATCAACTCTGCTTGTCTACTATTTCTCCAGAATTTGCCATGGGCACGAAGGAAGTACCAATTGTTAAATATATAGCAAGGGCTTGCCATTTTTCTCATGGTCTAGGAGTCATGCAGCTTTTCTCTAAAGGATGATATTCAATGTTTGGGGTCAGCTATTGAGAGGACCCAGGAAACAGAGGATATAGGGTTTCTCCCAGAAGCTTCCCCTCCTATATTCAGTCCTTGGTGATGTGCTGTTCCTTCCTATGCTCCTCCTCTGGAAGCTCTGAAGAGTGAAATGATCATCATTTCCAGGAAATACATCTGGTCTGTGAGTAAAGCTGGGGTTGCTGCTGTATCAGCTCTAGTTAGAGTGTCTCAAATACACAAATGTAGCATAAAAATTGACAAAATTCTAGCACTTTAAAGCCTCAAACCTCAAAGATTAGGGGAGAATTTTATATGTTCTATCAGAGCTGAGAATGTCCAAGGAATTTATTGGTGTTAGTATTATAGCATCCTTTTTCATAAGGCTCACTACCCATCTCCCCAGTAAACAGCCACAAAGGCTATGATTTTATTTGTAGGTAAATGGAGTTATGGTCTCCCCTCAGGCAAAACCCTAGTTCAGTTTAGAATGTTCTACCTTTTCAGTCTTCCCAGTACATATTTTTAAATTTGAGGATAAAGCTTTTCCAATTGTCCTCCCATTCAGAGACACTTCTACAAATGTTACACGTTTCTTACCTGAAAATGTAGTCTTGTGCAGCCTACCAGCGTATTGGGTGGGATATATAAAACAGCAAGTCTACAAAGTAATCAGTAAGCATAAAAAAAGTAGAAAAGAGTACGACCTAGAAGAAAATAAACACATTTTAAGTTGTTTTCTAAAATGCAGAGTTAAGGGATGACTCAGCAGTTAGCACCCTTTTCAAGAAGCTCACACCTTCCTGTGACTCCAGCTTCAAGGGACACAACACCTTTCCTGGCATCTTTACTAGTGAACATACACAAATAAATATGTACATATTACATGTATGCACAATTAAAAAATACACCTCAAATCCAAAAATTTAATGTGCTTTCAATTCAGAGAAAGCTTAAATAGATATATTCTAATCTTATTTCCATTTTCATAAACTAGATTAAAATCAACATCATCAGAAACTTTTCTTCCTAGACTTAGCTAAAAGCATTTGGCTTGACATTTGAAATTTGGCAAAGCTGGCCAAGTATAGGATCTGATGCATAGATTAAAGTTCCAATTTTAACCACAGAAGAACAAAAATAAAATAGGTTTGCTGTTGTCTAGGGAGTTAAATAATCAAAGAAAAATAGTTTCAATTTGATAAGAAGCAGCACTTTTTAAGATTCTTTTTATGAGCTATATTGATAAGAGGATTTTAGGCGTGCATCATGTCTCTAGGTAGAACTGTTCTATAGGCTAGGCCTGGACTTTCCTTCTTTTGGCTTTTTACCCTGTTTGCCTTTTCTTCTAACAATGAAAAGTGCGTCTCTAGAAAAACATCATCATTAGGAAATCTTACTCCTTACTAACTTTTAGGAATTAATCTCTGCTTCATATATGCCTTTTATTTTTCAATTGTGTGGATGTGTCTTTCACACATATATGTATGTTATTTTAATTATTCTGTTTTATGATACTATGACATATGTCAGTGTCCATGCTACTTGTGGAAATAAATGACTATAAACTATTGCAATTGATTTGTATAAAATGAAAATATGAATAATGTGTCAAATACAAGTCTATATGGTCTTCATAATAAAAACTCAGAGTCAGATATTGGGGTTAAAGCTGAAAACCAGAGATGCCCTCACCTCTACCAGAGCTCAGACCTAAAGGGCCATCATTATCTCCAGACTGCACCATTCCTCAGACTGCAATCTGTCTCCACCACACCTCAGACTGCCCTGAGCTCCTGTCTCCTCCTGCTTTATGTCCCTCTCTAGTTCTGGGATTAAAAGCATGGGATCCAGAGTACTGAGAATGCCTTTGTGTGAGCTCTGTTTCTCTTTTAGACTGGATCCATTTTGTGTAGCTTGGGGTGGCCTTGAACTAACAGAGATCCTCCATCTGCCTCTGTCTCCAGAGTGCTGGGATTAAAGGTGTATACCATCACTACCTGGCCTCTATGGCTGCCTGGTATAGCAAGCTTTGCACTCTGGTCTTCAGGTAAGCTTTATTTGTTAGATACACTACAGTGTATCAAGCCCTCCAGTGCCTCAAATAAAAAATATTAGGGGGAGAAGGTTAGTTCTTATTTAATTCACTGGTAGTGGAGACTAAATAATCTGAATGTTTTCTTCCTTAAATTCTAGTACAGAAAGAAGAAAAATCAAGTATTTGTTAGACAGTAATAAATTGAGACATTAAAAATAAACCTAGAATAAATATGTGTAAGTCACACATATTCCCTTAAAAGGTTGGAAAGAGATATAATTTGATTATTCTTAACAAAGAATCTCTCAAGAATCATATTTTAGTGTTAGATTTTTAAATTAACAAAATTTATAGTCTTCTGAAAATTCCATGTCCCTTTGAATCTCAGTTAATTCTTTTTCCTAAAAGGGATTTCAAAACAACTTTTAGGTTTATTTTATGATTCTATAATTTATTCTGTTACCTTTAAAGAAAGTGAAATGGAAATAGAGACAGTAATTTTAACATGTTATAAATCTCCATAATTATATTATAGAACATGTGAAATTTCTCAGAAAAATACATGTGAAATATTTAAAAGTATAATTAGTTTATCTTACACCAACCAAAAACATTAAAAAAGTATTAGTACTTAACCATAAGAATAAAAACATAGTAAACATACTTACAATATAGAAGCAAAGAGACCAAATGCCACTATTTTTCCTCCCCTTGCGAGAAATAAATGAAATCACATAAATCATAAAAATAATTGACATGGCATAACCACCACCGTACAGAACCTGAAATAAATAGGAATATGAGAATAAATATTATGACACATGAAAACATTTGAATACATTAATATCAAGAAACAATGTTTTCATGGCCTTCATCTATGTTAACTTAAATATCATAGAGAGTGGTAGAGTGGGTGGCTTAGAATTCTCATTTCTCAGCAGGAACATCATAAAATACACAAAACCAGTAGAGAAAACTGCCAGTTTTCTGCAAGCAAAAGTCTACATATGACAACTAACTCAAAAAAATGACAACTTAGAATGCTTTGGTGTGCTGTGAGTGCTCTTGGTTTACCACAGTCCTTGATTGGAGACAGTCACGTGGATGATTTCTGTTTCTGTTACCACCAAACTGGGGCTTTGTGTGTGTTTATGGGGAAGGGTGACAAAAATGTTCGAGCATATGCAACCAATGTTACTGAATCTCACAGTTAAAGTAAGCAAAGGAATCCAGTCATGGCGGTACACATCTTTAATTTTAGCACTCAGGAGGATCTCCATAAGTTCAAAGCCAGATAGTACTACATCCAAATAAAAAATAAAAAGAAAGTCATAACAACAATTTTATGCCATTTGTAATTTTAACCAGACTTTAAGAACGCCTTATAAAAATGAAAATATTAAAAACTAAAAGAGTCTGTGTTATTGCCAGTTTTGGTTGAATCATTTAATGATAGCTGTTTTAGGAATGTTGTCACTTACCTGAGTAAACAGATCTCTAGTTGTAAGCATACTCTCTTGAGGGGCTAAGGCGTAGAATGCGACACACATAGACAAAGTGAGCAGGTAGTAGATTGGAACCTCAACCAGAGCCTGCCCAAACCAGTATGCAGATGGGCAGAGGCCTGAAACCCACAGCTGAAGCTGAACTCTGTCCTGATGTAAAAGCACAATCATCAATTGAATATTATTTTTGTAAAAACATGAAAAGTGTAGAAAAAAAGCAAATGAGATAGTCATCATTAGTGATTAAACCCTACACACGCTAAAGGCCCTAGCTCCTTCTAAAGCTTTTCTACCGAAACTTGCTGTTGCTATTAATAGAGATCTTTTATACTAATGTGTTATTATAGTTAATAAAAAGAAATCCTCCACTGTCCGAGGTCCCTTAGACTGCCCAGGCCTTCTAACTGAGACCCACATTCAGAGGGTCTTTCAGTCTGGGGGGCCATGAGCTCCCCAGTGTTCAGGTCAGCTGTGTCTGTGAGTTTCTGTAGCTTGGTCTTGACCCTTTTTCTTATCACTCCTCCCTCTCTGCAACTGGATTCCAGGAGTTTGGCTCAGTGGAGGGAGGAAGGGAGGGATGGAAAACTGGGATCGATATGTAAAATAAGAAAAAATAATAAATAAATAAATAAGAAAAAATAAATCCTCCAAAGTCACTGACAGAGAAATAGTGCAGTCAATAAAACATTAACTTAATGACCCAAGGAGAAAAATTCCCCAAGTACTAACTTCCAGTGGTAAAATAATTCATCTCTTATAAAAATGAAAGTAGTCATTTTTTCTATGCAAAAATTGTCTCATTGTTTTATTCTGAATGAAAATGAATGATTAAAATACTGTAAATAATTGCATATTGCATGATACTTTTAGATAGCTTTATAGTTGCTCATTTTAAAGTCATTAAAATATAATATAGTAATATATATTGTCTGTGTAGTTATTTTATGTTCCAGATATGTACTGCACTAAATTTTATATTTTAAAAAAATCTACCAAGTGATATAAATGTTGGATGTTTTTTCAAGTGTGTTTTCCATCATTTCTATCTCTTTTGCTTTTGACAATTTAATTAAAATGTATGATGGATCAATTAATATTATTGTCCCATGAATCATTCAAGCTTAGATTATTTTTCAGAGTTGCTTTTCCTTTCTGTGTTTTAGTTTTACTGTTTTGCTGTCCTCCAATCCATTCTTTTTTATCTGTGTGTTTATTCTAGAAGTCACAATCATAGTTTTTCATAAAGATGTGTTAAGTATTGACAGAAGTGAGTTCCACTTCATTTGTTTCTTATATATTTCCTTACCATGTTCATTTTAGTTAAAACCTTGATCATATGAATCTGTCTAAATGTTACTTCTTTTATTTTCCTTGTCATTTCGGGGTTTGTTTTCAATTATTTTTTCCTTCTTGTTTCAATACCCATTTTCCTGTTTCCTTGAAATCCAAGCAATTTTTCTTGGATATTGGGCATTGTGAATTTATCTTTTCATATACTGGGTTTGTTTTCATATTTATGAGGTTTGAATTTTGTCGCAGCAAGTGTTAAAATTTCCTATAGATCAACTTAAGCCCTTTGTTTTGAAAGAATGCTTCACTGAAGAAGAACTTTAGCTCGTTTCTTTTGGATGAGTGTGTGTGTGTGTATTCATATACATGTGAACATGTGAATGCACAGGTGTGGGCTTGCAACTCATGGATGTATGTGCCTTTGGAGGCTGGAGATTGAGACTGATGAGACATCATCATCATCGTCATCATCATTATCATTATTATTTTACACAGGATCTCTCACTGAACACAGGGCTTATTGATTTGGTTAGAGTGAATTCCTGGGATCCTCCTGTCTCTGCTTCCTAGTGCTGGAGTTGAGAGCATGCCACCATGACTTGATTTTTACATGGATGCTGGAGATCAAAGTCAGATTCTCTTGCTTGTGCAGCAAGCACTTTACTCACTGAGCTGTGTCCCTGGTTCTTCAGTCTTGCTTTGAAGTTGAATTCTTTGGTGAGCCCCTACAACTAATGGTTGGAAATAGGTATTTCCAGTCCTGTACTTCTTGAACTTGCTCATCTTATAGAGATAAGTATGTTCTTGACATCATGAAGTTCTACTCTATGCCTACATGGCTCAGTATTGGCAACAGATTCTAAACAACCCTTGTGTAGAGTTCTACAGCCCTTGCTCTATGTGATTTCTTCTTTGACAGAACACTTACATGCAACTTCCAGCAACTGTAACCTGTTTGGATTCCAAGGTCTTTTTAGCTTAACAAGATTTTTATGCACTGCTTGAGATCTCTCTCTGTTTCATGAATGAGTTCCAAGAAGAAATGTGTGATATACAACTCAAATTTATTGTTTCTTTTTCTAAGGAATCTCACTCAGTCTTCCACTGAAAAGATTTAAGTTTTAGGGAGTCAAATCTCATCACAATGCCTCCATTGTACAGAAATAACACAAACCAAAATTTCATCTATTTCTCATTTTCCTTTCTTCTTCTTTCTCTTTCCAGCTGCTCCTCCTTCATCCTCCTTTTATTTCATTCTTGCTTTTTTACTTCTATAATGTTCAATTGTATTTGAATCAACTAACTGTTCAGTGTATAAACATGCACATTATACAAAATTCCACAATCACATCATAAATAACTTCCAATTGTTTAAATCTAACAAAATAATTTCCATTATTTTCTACTACCTTATAGTTATCAATGCTGGTCATGGAAATATAAGGTGGAACACAGGTCATCAAAAGGAACCATGAGATCAAATAAGGCATGTAATAAAATGGTCCGTGGCTATCATCCTAGGAATGAAAGTAATGCAGTGTACTTAATGTGCAAAGTTAAAAAATCATTGTCTAGATTACATTGCTCAAAACATAATCAATTACTAATAACATTGCCTTGGGTTTGTTCTGAGATTTCCTTCCCCTTACATCCTAATTCATTTTTCAATATAGATTTTGCTTATCCATGATTATGAAAATGAAAAGTAATAATGAGAACAGGCATTGTTATGATTGTAAAGTTCTAAAATTTAGGCTGACACTTAAAGATGGTCAATATTTTTAGACTTTCAATAATTATTTTAATAGTTTGTCAGTTTAAACCACTGCATCCAATTTAATGTTCAGGAATTCCAAACTCACAAGTTTCACATTCTAGCTGTTTTCCTCCTGTTTTTTTTTTTTTTTTTTTTTTTTTTTTTTTTTTTTTTGACATAGTCATCTTATGTAGTGCAGGTTGACCTTTAACTCACCTTAAGCTCACAAGTGCTAGTATTATAGGTGTGAGTCAGTGTGTTTGGATTTTCTCTCCTAATTTACCATCTAGTGCTTATTGGCAATGGCTCAACTGAATATGCATGGTCACATAAGATATACTGTAACATTCTACATATCAAATTAATGTTAAATATACACTAAGATAGATCCAAATGCTGATCTAATGTATGAAAGAAGCTCTATCATCAATTTTGAGATCAATCTGAATGGAACAATCTGGTAAACTCCAGATATAGCAGAATCTACAAGTACACACCAACCTCGGGAAATGTGCTGCGGTCAGTTTGAATGCATGCGGATGGTGTGAAGAGTCCAAGCAGCCCATTACTCACAATATCCACCAGAACCGGAAAGCAATTTAGTCTCTTGGTGTGACATGCTAAAGTGAACTGGTAATTCTAAAATGTAACAGGAAGATTATCGATCTGGAAAGAGAAAACAGAAAACCAATGTATGCAACATGCGAACACACTTTCCAAATGCTGACAGGAGAGTGTGTTCTTTGCAGTGGGGCTGATGCTCTGGTGCTTCTTCTACTGCCCTTTCCTTGAAGATGCACAAATCAAAATCGTAATTTGTAAATACCATAACTAAGCAATGGAACATAATTAAAATGTAAAACAAACCTTAAATGGGGCAAACTAATTATGGCTACAGTCATGTAGCGATCCCTTGGAACTGAAGCATTCCCTCCCGAAGGGAGAAGTGAGATTGGTAAGAATCAAGAACTTCATGAAATTACGTGGCTTATGAGGCACCTTACTGCAGCTATGACATAGTTAAGTTGCTGTGTAATAAACTATAATATGCACATTTTGGGAATTGCCACCCATGCTGGGATGAACTCTATGGCAATACAGATGCTGGACTCACCCATACACCTGTAAGAAAACCCAATAAGCAGGCTCTCTAACATAGACTTGTTTAGAACAAGGTATTTGGTTTTATTCACATCTCCTCAAGAAAAGCCATGTAACATTTATAGACTGTACCTAATTTAGCATTTATACTTTGGATCTCTGGCTTGCGGTTTCAAATAATAAGTATAAACTTTATTGTTTTTAATATTTACATTTAGTTATTAGTGTATGTGTCTACATATGTGCACACATGTACATACATGTGCATGTGTGGAAGTCAGAGGACAACTCACAGGAGTCAGTTCTCTCTACCATGTGGATTCCAGGAACCAACCAAACTCAGGTAATAATTATATATTGAGGTAGTAATGAATATAATTTTATTATTAAACTCATGAATAAAGTTCTCTGAATAATGAATGAAAGTAGAAATCATTTGCATTCTTTTAAGTAAACCTGAAGTTTAAATGGTATAATCATAGACCAAATTCTCTCCTCAAATGCAAAACATATGGTCCTATGTTATTTGTCTGTAATGGCTCAGACTCAATGTTTCATTTAATTGCCCTGTAATTGCCACAGCTCTGTTGCTAGTTGCTAACTAGCAACTGGAGATACACGTACATTCTCACCACCTGATAGTATGATAACTCCATTGTAGAGAGTCTCTTGTATGCCATTTCTACTCCCAAACGCATCAACTTTCAAAGATATGCTCTGTTTCTCCAGTGAGCATATGAAGTCATCAATCTGTGCTCCTAATAGACAGAAAAATGTTAACAGCACTGCAAACCAAGGGGATATAATAAGGTTATGTGTCACAATGACTCTTCAGTCATTTACCACCTACAGCGTGGACTAGTACAGATTTCAGTTCTCTGTGCATTTCTATTTGGAACAAACACCTGTTATTCTCTTTTGTTTTATGTTATGTGTGGGAGCACATATGTGTATGTGCATGTGAGGCCAAATGTCAATGTCAGATATCTTCTTTGATCACTCTTCACTGCATACATTGAATCAGGGTCTCTCACTTCAGCCAGACTCACCAGATCAGTCAGTCTATCTGGCCACCTTGTTCTGGGTACCCACTGTCTCTACCGCTTGAGCTCTGGGGTTACAGCTAGACCTCTGTACTCAACCAGCTTTTATGTGGGCTCTTGGGGTCTGAACACTGTCCTCACATTTCCATTGACCACTGGACCTTCCACCTAGGTCTTTGTTGTTCTTTTATAAACTTTCTAAATATAGCTCAATAATAATGTTAATAGTAATGCTCATGTACTTATGATTTCTTCTAGCAAAAAAGAAAAAAAAAACTTATGACAAATTAAGAATAACTTCTGCTTGTAGGGCAATTCCATCCAGGTGGGGTCATGTAGATCTGTCAAGTCATTTGAAGTAGGGACTAGGACTTCTCTCCTGTCTCTAGGTTAAGGCAGTTATCCCTCCATGGGGGATGTGTCTGCAAAGTCTTTTTGTGCACCAGGGACATCCTGGTTCCACTGTCTGAGGTCCCTTAAACTGCTCAGTCCTTCTGGCTGAGACCCATATTCAGGGGGGTCTGAGTCAGTCCCATGCTGGATTCCCAGCTATCAGTCAGGTGGCCCGTTAGCTCCTCCTTGTTCAGGTCAGCTGTCTCTATGTGTTTCTGCAACTTGGTCTTGTCCTCTCCCTCTGCATCTGGATTCTAGTTCGACTCAGTGTTTAGGTATGGATGTTTGCTTCTGTTTCCAACAGGGTTCCATGATGGTGGGGGGATGGGAGGGGAAGGTGGCCAGGGTGCATGTGAGGGGGCAGAGAGGGTAAGAGGGAGGGTGAGGGAACTGGGATCGACATGTAAAATAAAAAATAAATAAATTAATTTAAAAAATTAAAAAAGTATATTTTCTTAAAAAAAGAATAACTTCTGCTAGCATCCTGTGATTTTTTTTATAATAGAAATTTCTTGAACTAAACAATGTATTATTGCTTTATACTAATGGCTACACTGGTGATCACATAATTAAAATGCCTTTAAATTTACAAGTTATTCCTACCAATATGTTATTTTATCCAACTTCTCAAATCTCTCTTTATGGTCATTATAACACTAAACTTTCACAGTATTTTTAATTGTTACTTATTGGCTTTATTTTCTACTGTTTGGTAAGATACATACAACTCAGTTTTCAAATGAAAACAACAGTGAGGGACATTCTATCCAGTGTGAACAAGCCACCGCCACTGTGAACCCACACTTAGCACCACCGTTGTGAGGGGTCAGGAAACAGGAGAGGTTTTAGTGTTTGAAACAATGACCAAAGGATGGAACAGGTCCTCACTTCTGAGAACACAGGGTTGGAGGCACAACTCACCTTCACAACAGTGACTTGTGCTAACTGACTTACTCTCTCTGCTTGTTTCCTGTGTGGGAAGTGTGACCATCACTGTATCAAGCAAGCTTTGATTGCTGTTTTGAGAGCTCTGAGTGATGTGTCACGTTAGACACATAGTGTTATACTTCATACATATCAACCTAATGCTCCATGCTATGCGCTATTATTGTGGGTTTCATTTTATAGCTCATGGAAAATGAATTACCTGGAAATTTATTTGTTCTTTCTAGGGGTAATATGTAGTTCATTTCCCTTTGCTTTTTGCTGACAATTTGGAATCAGGGATGTTGTTTGACAAGCCATGTTATTCTCTCAGGCACACATGTTTCATTCAGCTGCAAGCTGTTATTTAAAAGATGGAACATGTTATTTCAAGTGGTTTCCAACATCCAAAATAACCAGAAAAGAACCCTTTACTTCTGCCTACACACGCACACACACACACACACACTCATACATGCACGCACATGCACACACGCATGCACATGCAAGTGCACACATACACACGTGCACACACACGCACACATACACACAAACATGTGCAGTACACTTTTACACATATAATTTTAAATATATTTCTATTAATTCTTTGAAAATTTCAGACACATATTCAATGTATGCTGGCTGTAGTCTCTCCTGCTTATCCTTTCAGATCCCAGTGTCCCTTCTCTTCTAGCAATGACTGCATCCAACAGCACCTTTTGCTCTAGCCCAGCTCTCATCTACCCCACCTGCCCCTAGAAGGCCTACCTTAAGTGATAACCAATCCCCCACTTCTCCTTCAGAGACAGAGATGAGCCCACACACTTTAGTTTCCCATTGGAGATGAACACTTTCCTGTCTGAAAAGGAAGACGCCATGAAGAGAGATAACATTCATTTTAGAAAACATGAAGTACAGCAAACTGTATAGGAGTTTATACAACTTTAAAAGTCAGATGCAATTATGGTTAGAAAAAAACCACCATCATCTCTGATGATTATGTAGATTATTTATGCCTCAAACACCTGAACAGAATGAATTATGTGGAAAATTTATGACATAGATAAGCATTAACATGTATTTTAGCTGGTTTTGCACAAACATTTCAAGTTGATTTACTCAATTATGACAGTCAACTGAATGCCATTTATCTTATAATTAGGAAACTTCCTAAGAAGGCCATGCTGTGTGTCAATCACATTGCTGTAGAATGTGAAGGGATACAGACACCCTATACCTTTGTCAGAAAGAGCTGGGTCGTCACACTCAGCAACATAAAAACAGCAAGAAAATAATTCAAGGTTTTCAGACCTAAGTCCTCATCCTGATGCTTAAGGAAGTCAGCAATTACCAGCCAGAATGTCAGCCTCATCCCTGAACTGTGTGCTAAAGAGGACCACACGGTCTGCTTTGTGCTCCTTCAGGAGGTTCCACACTTGGTGCCTTGAGAAGGGATCCAGCCCAGCAGTGGGCTCATCCAGTAGGAAAATCTAGAGGAGGGATCAAATGAAGGAATCTTCACGGACTGAAGCAGGCAACACAGAGGCTAGGTATATACTTGGCTTACTACAGCACCCACGGGTCTACTGTATCACCTCCATCACAGTGCCTTTGTTGGTGAAAGGCTGTTTCCAAATGGAATTTTTGACTTTATGAAACCCTGCTGACTTACCTGAGGGTCTCCTAAAATGGTGATTCCAAAGGTCAGCTTTCTCTTCTGCCCTCCACTTAGGTTTTGAGCAAGGGTATCCTGAGTATTTTTCATTTCCAATTCCATCAAAACTCTTTGCACCTACACAGGCACACACCACACAAAGAAAAATATGTTTAAGCCACAACTAGAATGCTTTTTAAAATTTTTAACTCTATGAAATAAACTGTAATAGTTTGCAATAAACAGTAATATCTGCTTGGGTTTTCTATAACTCCATGTTTACTTGATATATGACTTGGGGGGGAATTATCTACCTCTTCAAAATTCAATCTCATTTGAAGATGAAGATCACATCACTTATCTCAGACATTTTTAAGGCACTATCACAGGTTACACATGCATGCTTGTTATTCCTATGTTTGCAGCCAACCTTAATACACCAATTTGCATGCAAGCAACTTAATACAAACCAAACCAAAGAAAAGTAGCTCAAACATTAATTGAGAAGCATTTGGAATTTTTATGTTAGTCTTAGCATACCACGTACCTCCTTTTCAACTTCATGTTTTTTAATCCCTTTTATCTTAGCAAATAGCCTGAGATTTTTCCCATACAGTGAGGAAGTCAAATTGTACATTACATTGTGGACAAACTCCAGTGAGCTTGATGATGCTTTCAAAGTCTGTCTTTTCTGAGAGTTTGTTATTTTAGATAGTGACCCAACCTATAAACAGGGATTTCAAAAGACATTATCAAGATAAAACAGCATCTTCAACTTACAATAACGTAAAACAAAAAACTTTACAAAGTAAAATTAGACATGTGATTTCATCTATTCCAAGATTCATTTTAGTATTCTATCTCACCTGTATTTGAGAACATGGTACATCCTATCTCTTACCATCAAGAAATGAAGTCAATTTCTCTAACCTCTTAGCTATGTATGTAACTTGCTTTGAGCAATGCAATGTGAGTGAATAACAGCAAAAGAGAATATGCAACGGTTGCTTTACATTGGCATTGATTCTCTCTCTCAAATCCTTAGAACCTCAGCCCTAGAAGTTTTCCAGAGATGAGAGATAGACAGACAGAGAGACAGCTAGAGAGAGACAGAGAGGCAGGAGGAGACAGAGTGACAGAAAAACAGAGGTGGATAGAGAATATTGCAGCTAAAATCTCAGATGTATAGGTAAAGCCACCCTAGGCAATAAGCTATAGTCAAACAGTAGTATTGAGAGACCTTTCCAGTCAACCCATCTAATCATGACAAATAATAAATGATGACATTTTATAAGTTGCTGGGTTTTGATAGTACTTTATACATAAAAAATGTGATCAATATATGTGGTGAATGTCTATTAAAACAGTGTGAATCCTATGAAAATTTGAATATTCTTAAATAATAAAATTCTGTACATTTCAGTTAATATCATATACATTTATAAAAGAATTATATATATTAAATGTCAACTTCTAGTTGACATCCATTTTCAAGGTGTCGTTTTTTCCCCCACTGACTAACTAATGGAAGCAGATGCAGTGACCAACAGTTAAGCACTGGGCAGAGTTCCTAGAATTCAGGTGAAGAGAGAGAAGGGGGATCTTATGAGCAAGTGGGGGGGCGGAGGTCAAGGTCATGATTAGGAAAACCACAGAGACAGCTGATGAGAGAGCTAATGGGACTCAGGACTCTGGACTGCATGGGACTGAACTAGGCCTTCTAAATGTGGTGACAGTTGTGTGGCTTGATCTGTTGGGGGTGGAGCTGGCAGTAGGAGCAGGACTTATCCTGGGTACATGAACTGGCATTTTGGAGCTCCTTCCCTATGGTGGGATACATTGCTCACCCTTGAGACAGTGGGGAGGGGCTTGGTCCCACCTCAGCTTGGTATGCCAGACTTTGTTGAATTCCCAGGGGAGGATTTACCCCCTCTGAGGAGTTGATGGTGATGAGAAGGGAAGGGAGGTGGGAAGTGGGAGAAGAGGGAACTGGGGGTGGTATGTAAAATGAATTTTTTTAAAAAATGTCAAATTTGGTGAGTTTAATTATCTCTGTCTTTAGCTAATGCTCAGATGGCTAACAAAAACACCGAAGATCCACTTGTCAATCTTGAGAAAAGTCTCTTGCCTTTGGTGGGAACATACGTCCCACTAATGATGTTTAACAGTGTTGATTTCCCAGCTCCACTGTGGTCAAGGATTGCAGTGATCTGCCCTTTATATATGTCCAGTGACAGATCTGGAAGGAAAATGGCATGAGGGTTTAAAATCACAAATGTAGGTTTAATGCAGGGCTCATATTGTGCCTATGCATTTACAGCATGTGGCTAAAATTTATGAAAGTATACATTAATCCATTTATGAAATCAAAACAAATGCTCTACTTTTTCACCTTCAAAAACACTGAAGTACGCAGTTTCAGTGGGATGGAAACTGTTTAATGTACACAGATTAAATGGCATCACCTTGGCACACTATAACCATTTGATATCTCTTAAATTTGGAACAAATCAATAATGTTGTTATTATCTGACTGAAAGTCCCACAAGCCAAAAGAAAATTTGCTTCCTCCCTTCCCAAATGTACATACAATATTAAAGATCATCTGGTTGCCATAGTGAACTAGAAGTGGTAGACATCTCTCGTGTGATTACAAAAATTACATAGCACAGAGATGTTAGTTCAGTTGGGGGGACGGCAAAACAGCAACATGAGAGCCAATACCTGTTTACAAGGCTAGAACTGCTCGAAGAAGGTTTCACAGAGAGAAAGTTAACTGACTAAAAGATCAAGATTTTTCTGTATCTTAATTACTCACCTTTCAAAGCCTCTGTCCGCTTGGACTTTTCTGTGTATTCTTTTGTAAGACTTCTGATTCTGGGGAAGAAGCAAGAAGTGGTTTAAAAGGCCACGGTTCTCTTCATTATCTAACTCTGAGTTTGGTTGAAGAATCTGGGTAAACTTGGATTGCAAGAATATGGGGGAAAGCATGTGAACTTCATTTAGCTGTGATTAGAGGCAATAGTACTTTAATGTTTTAAAAATTGACCAGTGCTTGAGCTCACTTGGAAGAAAGGCTGCTTCTTTCAGTGTGGGCTGAGGCTTGAACGCTGTTCTTGATGGTTAGCAATACTCCTGACATGAACCACATCTAGTAGTGGGGAAGCTAGATAAGGATACAAGACAGCTAACATAGCAAGGTTGAGCAGGAAACTTAGCAACATAGAGATGTTCGAGGTGACATCTTCATGAAGCCCAGAATCTCTTCAGGTCAGTGAGTCAGTAGAGAATGGCAAGAAGAAGAAATGTCATGAACAATACCAGAAGCTATTATCGTACTTTATTTAATAACTGACAAGTATAATTATCCCCCATAATTCTGCTTTCCTGCTTTCCTGCTCTGAAAGGAATACTAACAGTACAGACATTGCAGTTAGTTTGAAGACTAACAAAGTGTAGCATGATGGCAAAGTAGTCCGTGGGAGGAGGACCTGTTAGGGGGAGCAGGGAGAATTGGAAGTGGCTAATGGGGTTCTGGATATGATTAATATATATATATATATATATATATATATATATATATACACACAAATATATATATTTCTCAAAGAATAATCAAAGATATTATTTAAAGTAAGAGTTACAAACATTAAGACCTTGAGGATTTCTTCCTTATTTGAAACAAACGCAACTAGCTCTACATGAAACAGGTATTTTATTGTAGCCCAGAGTGCAGGTATGCATGACTGGAAAGCCTGTTGTGCCAATTTCCTGTTTGTCTCCAGCCCTTTCACTTGATTCATCCATTTCCCTTTGTCTTCTTTGTAGAAACAATGAATGTATAAAAGAAGAAATATTAATGGGAGAGAATAGAAGCAGTAAGTGACAGGCAGAGAGGAGTTCTGCTGATTTGTAGCTGCTAGTCTTACATCTGAAATCTGGTACTAAAATAATGAGAATACAGGACAGGACATTACAGGCATTGTGGATAAGGGTAGGTCATACCGCTGTGAAGGACTCAAAGGAGGGATCATGTGGCTTAACTGTGTGACTGGAGCAGGCTTTAGGCTGAAGACAACATTGCCCCGACCTGGCTGTCATCTGACCACACAGGATCTCACCTGATGGCTTCTTTCCCATGGAATTTTGAAGACACAAGTTCAAATGAGTTATCAGAAAGCTCATAGTCAATTTCACTGTCAAGGGCTTGATTTTGTTGAGACCAAAATGAGGGCTTCAGGAAATACAAGGGTGAGTGCCATCGTCCATATCCACCTACTGAAACGGTGTAATTATGCCTGAGGTCAGCTACTGTTCTAAAATCCCATCTTCACCTCTAAATGTGAATACATTTCAACACAAGCAAATACTGTCTTACAGGGTTACAGGGATTTTGCATTGGGAATATTACATAAAAATATAAAGATATTAAGTTAACTACCTAAGCAATGGAAATTTGAGGGAAAATGAAGATAAAATATCATGAAAAAATGAAAGACTTTTCTAATCGTGGGCTATCCAAAATGCAGATCCAAATGTACTATAAATTCCAATACAGTCACTAAATGGATGAGAAATTACTACTTACATATCCAAATACAGTATGAGTTTACATAATCAATTAAATAATCATAATTACTAAATGAACATTTTAAAGAAAGACAGCATAACTGAACTAAGTTATGTGTTGGATCATAAGAAAGAGTGGCAAGGGACACCACACATCAATCCAAACAATATGAAGGGCAGATGAAGCTAATTACTATAATCAGAGTAAGTTTAATTTATCTATTAGTTCCTCTCATCATGTCAACTTGTTTGGTATAAGAAAAATAGAAACAAAATGATAACCCGTAAGCTAGCTATGACATAATCTCAATTGGCACAATACACAAAAGGGATTCATAAAAGAACAGGTAATGTAAACTAAATAATTTCCCAGTTTTTCCAAGAATTGATGAAAATTCTGGTCATAAATTTAAAATGCTTAAGGAAGTCTAAATATGAGCATGTATATGTGCACACAAGTGTATACATACAAAGGCACACACACAAAACAAACTCATTTCAAAATCAGAAAGCTTAAGAGCAACAAAAAGAAAATATAAAATTCTTAAAAGATGCTAAAAATAAAATGGATATTACAAAGGAAATTGATAAGAATGAACAGATATTTCCTGTAGGGAACCATGCAAGCCAGAAGATTGTGATGGCATTAAGTTTAAATTACATTAAAACAGCAATTTTGCATTATTGAAATAAAAATAAACCTGCCAGTTTAGAGCTCTGTACTCACCTAAAACATGAAGGCAAAATAAAAACTAGTGTGAGCATAAGATATACAGGAGGGAATAGATCAAAACAATATAAAATATTGTCGAGTAAAAATTGGAAAAGCTCATATTTCAAATAAAATTTAAAAACGTTTAAAATTGAGTTTTGAGAAAAATTGAATTATATTATGTATTGCCCAAGGTTTTGGTCAACAACTAAAAGAAAAAAAAGCATTTAAATCTTTCATATACTTTAATGGACAACCTCTGTGTTACATTCCAAGTAGCATATTTACTATTTAAAGAAAGATCAGGGTTTAAAAAAAACAAACAAAGCCAAGTGAGTATGTATATAGCTTATCTAGACACTGCTTTTTCATTAGGAGAAGGCATTACTCAAATTTATTCCCCCCCAAAAGCATTATGTTTTATTAACATGTTCAAAAAATGTTAAGTTCTTAGCTAGGAGACTAGTATATCATGTATCACTAACATGATCCTTACCTTTATTAACATGTTAAACAATGTAAAGTTCTTAGCTAGGAGACTAGTATATCATGTATCACTAACATGATCCTTATTTTATACTGATACTATGTTGAACTGTGTAAGTATGCATGACATTATATAAAAGGGAAGAGAGTAGACAAAGTATATTCTTACTGAATAAAGTGAGTTTTAATTCATTGTCCATAAACTAAACATGTGGAATCCTTGGCAGGTTTCCCAAGCATTTGTCCCTAATTTATCTTAGAGATAATGGGTTTATATGAAGATAAACTCTGTATAGACATAGAAAGTTGTATTCATCTAACAATTATTTATTAACATTCTAGTTTGTGCCTTTGGGAATACTTTAGAAGGGTTGAGTTCATTACATTTTCACCCCATAGAGAACATCTGTGAAACAGAGGTCAGGCCAAATATTGACAGAGAAATTTAGAAATGTGGGTCTTGGGTAGAAGTTCAGATTAGGGTTAAGTCAGAAGTGGATTCAGTATTTAGGGCTAAGGTGCCCAGTGCAGACATTCAGGTTCAGAGGGCCAAGATTGCTAAAATAATTAATGAGGTGTCAGGGGTAAACAGGTTTGGGAAGCTTTGTATCCTTGTGGCCCATGGGTGCAAGAAGGTATAGACAGGAAGGAAAACCTCAGCATAGACTAGGAACTAAGGCTGCAGAGACTCCCAGGACATGCTCTGTGGTGAGGGTGGACTCTGAGCTTTTGAATCTGCTGCTCAGGTCAGAGTCCGAATGCAAAAGTAATGGTTACCTAAGCCAGAGCAACAATGGGGACAGAATATGACTAAGAGAGGGAAGAAGGATTATAGAGAGTTCCAGTCAACAAGTCAACCTGTTGATGGACCATGGGAATACTGTCAATCAGTGACAAGTTCCTTCTGACATACCTTCACACTCAGATTCAACTCACATCATTGGGTTCTTTACCCCTTCCTTTATAATAAAGAACACTATAGGATTGGATTTGTATTTAAGGAAAATGAAAAGAATAAGAAGAAAAAAAGTATTGTTTTTCATTCACTGACTTTAGCTTGTCTTCCTTCTAGTAAACATTCTAAGATTCATTTGCAACAGTACTCTGCTTGTTTATTTTAATTTGAGATGGTTTGGATGTATTCTTACCCACCCCAACCCCCCAAAAAAGAAAAACGTATACATTAGGATTCACTTACAAGTGAAAGACTCAATATGCATTACATGTTATCAACCTTATCTTATAAATGAGGAGAAAGGGAGCTCAAAGGCACTTTAGAAAATACTTGAAGTATTACATTATAACACAGCAAAGCCATTTTTGGTCACTGCCTGATGTGGACCTGGGGCAAACTGAATCATTTAAAGACTCTACTATTCTGAAAAAAAAAATCAATGCTAATTATTCTTAGGTCAAGAATATGATTATAGAAGATAATGCTAATGTGCTATACTATTAGGTAATTTTGACAATTAGGATTTCATCCAGAGAGGTGGGAGAGATGGCACAGTGGTTAAGTGTTCCCAGAACCCACATGTCAATTCACAATTATCTGTAACTCCAGGTCCAGTTGATCTGATGCTTTTTTCTGGTCTCCAAAGGTTCTGTATGCATATGGCACACAAACATGCATGCAGACAAAAACAAACAAACAAAACAAAACAAAAACCCCCATATGCATAAAATAAAAGTCTTTTTGAAAGTTAATTAAATGATATGCAGAAGAGATGCCTCAATGGGTAAGACTGTTTCTTCTACAAACATGAGGACCTCAGTTCCAATTCCCATGCCCCATATAAAAAGCTGGGCATGATTATACATGCCTGTAACCCCAGCTATTGGAAGACATAGAGAGATTCAGAGAGCTTTATGACTAGTCATAAAGCTAACCTAACCTAACAGTGATACCGTCTCTAGGCAAGGTTGAGGATGATAAATAAAGATGAGCCTTATCCTCTTTGGTTCTCTGCTGGCTTCAACACCTGGATGCTAATGTGAATGGAACACACACACACACACACACACACACACACACACACACACTCCAGAGCTTATCAAGTGAACTATGCATTAACCAGTGTGTGTAACCAAATTAACTAGGAAGACAGATTCCTTCTGATTTAGCCAAAAAACTCACCTGTCATGTCGGAGGCCAAAGAGACTTTATTCATTATTCTCTCAGTTGTTTTGGTGACAGGTGTGTATGCAATCGTAAAGCTGGAATCATTAAAAAAGTCAATACGTCCCAGGTCTACATTAGGCAGATGTGAAAAATCATAAACTTCATGAATTTCAGAAATTGCAGATAAGCTACACAGTATAATTGCAGTGTAAAGGAATTCCTAGAAAGCCAAAGAAAAACAATAAAGACCATTGTAATTTAAAGTAAGACAAACACAATTGGTTTTGCCATTTAGCTATGATTTTTATTGACAAAATTTTCCAGTTTCTCTGTCTCCTAGCATAGATTTAAAAAAAAATCAGTCTACTGAGATTAAGCATTCCCTATAATTCTCAAGACTTATTGTTTAAGGTATTATCTTGCTATATAACCTAAGATAACTTTGAAGTTGTGGTCCTTCTACCCCAGCCTCTCAAGTGTAGGACTATAGCCATCACTCCCAGTCTCCTCTAGGGAATTTTGGATGGAACTGAAATTTAACACTGGTGTGAAGAGAGAATCTGAATTTTAAAAGGCAGCAAAACTATAAGGAATAGACTGTGACAAGGACAAACACTCCCTGAAGCACTGCTAAGTTTATTTGCTGTGAGAATCAGTGGATGGGGACAACTCCAAGTCATTGATAATTTAGTAATTGTTATTGTCTTGGCATTGATAGTTTAATGATAATTTCTATTTTGGCCATAGTTTTAACTGCTAGGTAGAAAGTTCAACAAAAAAAGGCAGGGACCTCAGAATACTGTTTTGATTTGGTAGGTGTCTATCAGGGATAACTGAGAGCTACCAACAACAGATCACTTTAAAGGTTTTGTTAATTTCCAAAATGTGTGTGTATGTGTGTGCTTGCATACATGAGTGCACATATGCACTCTTATGCACATGCGTCACTGTACACATGATGAGGTCAGTGACAACTCATAGGAACCAGTTCTCTTTTTCCTGTCATGAGTTTAGGGACCAGATTCAGGCCATCAGGCTTGCATGCAAGGGCTTTTACTTTTTAAGCCATCTTACCAACCCTGGTATCTTTTTTCAGTATTTGGCTTTTTAAAAGTTTGCTGGATATGTACTTAGTATAATCACAACTTAGATACCAAATGCTACCTGGCTTCACCAGCTGATACTTAAATGGAAAGATTATAAGGGAAGATTTTTCTTCACAATATTATGACAATTTCCCAAAGTCTGTGTTCTTAAGAAAACAATGCCTTTTTAGAAGAGAAAGTGATCCAAAAGAAAACTCCTCTGTCATTAGTGGATGCATCCATTAGCACAGTCCACACTTTGACCTGTTACTAATCTTAATCTTATCAATGAGAAAAACAGCTCTGAATGCTTTTGTGAGGGTTTAAAGGATTTATTGTGCTCTCACTTGGCACCCTCCTTTGTTATACTTAGCCCTTAATGAATGGCCTCCCTCCCACTTCTATTTAGAGACCTGATTTCTTTTTCAGGGACAATCTTCAATATTTGCACACATGGAAAACACACTGTGCTGTCAGACACAGGAAAGACAACAGATCCCAAGTCTTACAAAAAAAAAAAGTGTCTCCTTTCATTCTCTTATTTCTAAGCAGGTTCTTGCACAGTAAGGCCCATATTTGTTGACTCACGTTTATCTCTCGGTCAACCATTTTGGTCTGTTAAATAAGAGAAAAAGAGCCAGTAAATACTAAAATGTTAAGAGGAAATTTTCTGTAGATGTCAGGGCCTGGTTGCCCTTTATTCCCAAGGAAGTGCTTAGGTGCTGGGAATTGCTAGGTTATCCACTAAGCATCTATCTCTTCCCTTTCCTTCCCTTCTCGCCTCCTCACACACAGACTCTTTCAACAGTGTATCTCTATAAATTATATGCATCTCTCGGTTTGTAAATACATCAATATTGTAACTGGTATAATATGTAGTCACTTAAACACTAAGAGAGAAGGGGAGGGAGGGAGGGAGGAAGAGAGTCAGAGAGAAAGAGAGAGAGAGAAAGAGAGAATGAGAGAGAGAGAGAATGAGTTAAATGACTCTAGACCTGGATGTCCTTTACATATAATGTATAAATCAACACATCTAGCACGATGTAATGGGTATATTAATTGGAAGTCAGAAGACTACCATATTTCACTTACCCTGGGGGAAAACAAAATCAGTGAAAACACTCAAGTGTTGAAGTAGAAAACAAGATAGAGCTTTGGGTCTGAATGGCTACTTTTCTAATACCATAAGGAAAATGGTATCAGGAACAATACTGGTGCCCCGTGCATATATGGAAGAATATGTCTAGAAGAACAGAAAGTATTTGGTAAGGAGCTTAATCTTCTTAGTCCTTGTTATTGTTGCAAAGAAATGTGTTCAATCTTTATAATACATCAAAGTAGACATTGCACATATCATGATCTGAAAAGATGATGAAATTAATTTCACAGGTTGCCATGGGAAAGTCACATTATGCTTTTGCATGTACTTTGAGGTAATGCTAAAATCTCCCTTGAAATGAGATTCAAGTAGGCTTTAGTTGGGTTAAAATTCGTGAGCTTTGACCTAACTTTTTCAATTTCCTGTTGTTGATCATTTTGGGGCATCAAAATGACAAGGATTACAAGGAACTCTGTTACGAGTAGTATTTTCCTGCCGGCCTAGACCCACAGCTGGGTCCAATTAACACATAAAGCCGCTGTATTAGATATAATTCTGTTGGCCATTTCTTGTTTCTTATTGGCTAGCTCTGTCTTAATTATTAACCCATTTCTATTAATCTAAGTATTTCCACATTGTCTCATCTTACTGGAGAGAGGGACTGGCGTTTTGCTCTCTCTGTCTTCCATCTTGGAACTCCTCCCTACCACTTCCTCTTAATTAACCAATAAGAGAAACATATTTGGTCACCATTATGTTACGAGCAGTTTTTTCCGGCAGCCTGGTCTCACCACCACGCCAGCCCCAAATAACACACAGAGACTCTGTATTTGATATAAAGCTGTTGGCCAGTTACTTGTTTCTTATCGGCTAGCTCTGGCTTACCTTACTGGAGAGAGGGGCTGGCATTCTTCTCTCTCCGTCTTCCATCTTGGATCTCCTACCTACCACTTCCTCAATCCTCCTTGTTTCCTAGTCCCGCCTATCTTACTTTCCTATTGGCCAACAGTGCTTTATTAATTAACCAATAAGAGAAACATATTTACAGAATGACATCTCCCATCAGAACTTGTAGTCATTTTAATGGGGTAGGCATACTACGTAAAAGTATGTTTGTTTGGGTAGGAGAAGCTGGGAGTGGGGAGAAATCGTATTTATTCTTTCAGTCATACTAGTGGCAAGGTGGAGGGTAGAGGATATAGGCACAGTGGAGGTGAGCCTTATGAGAAAACATAACTTTCTGAATGCTCTTTTCTGATAAGTGATGCAGTAGAGACCATGCCCTAGGCACCTGGGGAGGGTGGGAATACTAGTTTCCCAGTCAGTGTTGAAGTGAGCAATTTGATTTGTGAATGCTTAACTTTCTTGTGGCACAACTCTACTTGCTGGATTTTGTTGTTGTTGTTGTTGTTGTTGTTGTTTTAAGCAATGGTCTTCCTCACAAAGCTTGAGAGATACTGTTGAGGACAGACTTGGGAAGATTGGGCTCTTTCCATAGCTGACAACCAGCTAAAATTGAGCTAGACCATATTGAACTGAACTGTAGGGATTTCCATGGAAGGGAAGAGCAGGTGGATCGGTGCAGGTGCAAAATTTGGCAGCTCTAGTCATCTCACACTCAAGAGAGTTGTAGCCAATAATATGAAGCAATGATGCCTTGTGTATGTGTGTGTGTGTGTGTGTGTGTGTGTGTGTGTGTGTGTGTAGTGTATGTGGGTACCATGGAGTTTGTGGATGGAGAGATTATCTTGGTGAGTGGTAGAGCATTATAGAAACACAGAGATGTAGCCCTGGAAGTCTTTGGAAAGAGCCCTGTACATGGGGAGCCAGAAAACAGAGGATCCCCTTTCCAGCAAAAAATGCAAATCAGTCTCAGCATTTATCACCAGTAGGAAAAGTGTACACTGAGACTGTGAACTTCTCAGAACTGGCTAATATGCTCATCCAGGCTCTTCAGAGAAACAGAAGGAACAGAACCCAACTGAATCAACATCTAGCAATCTAGAGATTTTAGAAGCTCTCATCCCATTCTTGAGACAAGTTCAAACAGAGAGCCGCTTATTTCCCAGGATGAAAGTTCAGGTGAAGAGTTCAGGGGACAGTTCCATTGAGAGAGCACGGTAGCTACAGCAAGGCCATAGGGTTATTTCCAGAAAAGAAAAGCGCATGCAGCTATTAAGTAAGACTGGGAGGCAAGTCTTGCTACAAAATTATGGGAGAAGGGATATTATTAGAAAGCCTGTGAACTGACAAATAGAGGGGGGGTGTGTAGATCTTAGCAAAAAAAAAAAAAATGAATGTTTTAGGTCAGGGTGTCCAGGAGCCCCAGGAATTGCTCCTGGTAACGTGTACATGCTTAAAGAGTTGGGACAGCTTGTACCAGCCAAGGAAGCAGCCACAGCCCTTTGTAACTAGAAGAACTGACTCTAACTCCCAGTCCCAAAGTTTCAATGTGATTCAGTCTGGCAGTATAAATAAGCTCATTAAAACATCCCTCTTAGCCAGGCCATGGGTCTACAAAGTAAGTTCCACGATAGCTAGAACGTCATACAGAGAAACCCTGTCTCAACACTCCTCCTCCCCTCCCAAAAAAACCCTCCTTGCTTTCCCTTCCTTCTCTGATTCTTAGGTGGTTGCTAGCCCATGTACAGATAAAAATGAAGTTTTTGTTTCAGGAGGAGTTAATATTACTGACTCTCTACACCAGGCAACAAAACTCTGTTTACTACAAACTCCTGCAGACAACAGATGATGTGATATTTGAAATAATCTTATGAAATGGTCCCACTCAATAGGACTCAATACATCATACCCAACAAATAAAAATGTGCAGTAAAGTATCTTAGATTTTTTTAAAAAAAAAATCATAATTTTGAGAATGATGAGCTGAAATATGCAAGTATTTCTCTAAAAGTCATTCTAAACAAGTCTCAGGATTAGAGAAAGTGCAAATTATTGTGTGATAAAATTACAAGTGTGTAACAGCAGCCCAATAGCAGATCCTCGTTCATATTCATGCTGTAAATTCTTCCAGAAAGACCTTCTACATCCCTCATGGTCACTATCATATAACTGGCACATTCTCACATTAAAATGTCAAAATATGACTATGTCTTTTAAACTACCCATCCCTTTTCCTGTAGACCACACAAAAATAAATCCAAAGACACTAAAGTCCCTATTTTAGAAAATAATTTCTCCCTAAAAATTGGTCATTGAGTACAAAAATCTCACTTATAATTACACAATAGAAGCCAAACAGAAGCGAAAATGAATTTACTGTTGGAATGACTAAAGAAAGTTTCCTAGAGAGTTGGCTTACCTCTGTGTTTACTTGCTTCGAGAAAATGGTTTCTATTTCTTCCTGGTCTCTATCAAGTCTGCACTGTGCTTACTCTGTTTGCCTGTTTTGAATATCCCCAGTCAGAATGACTGTGGTTTTTGGAGGAAGGTCATGGCTGTCATTTTCTTGGCCTGCTGAGCACTGTATTCACGTGCCCGCCCCTGAACAAATTTCTTTTTTTGTTGACTTCCAGCCAATACCCACAGCAGAGACCTGCCAGCCCTACTTATTTAACTAATTATAATGTCATAAAAATGCATCCTGCAGAGGGAATCCAAATTTGTAACTTGTCTCTGCTCCTCAAAAATCATATAGGCTGATTTCAAAGAATAAAATATTAAAAAAAAAACTAAAAAGAATAAAATGTTTAAAATATTGTCTTTGAAAAGGTAAAACATAAAGGTCCTTGACCTGAATTACTATTTTGGTCAATGTAATCCTATGTAATTGTTATAATAAACAATTCTAAAATTTCAACTATTTTGATATCACAAAGTATTTTGTAGAAGTTCAGTTTTCTTTATTGTTCCTCTCAACTACTCTACTATAGGATATCTACATTCCTTGTCTTGTGACCCCATACTTTTCAAAGACAATCAGAGAACATCATTCTCCTGCTCTGAACCTCTGCAACTTCCTCCTTCTACGGGTCAGAAAAAGCTCTGTGCTCAGGTTATTAGACTATCTTTCTCCACACAGATGACAGCAATATCAAGTGTGTCATGTAATGTAACAGTTTTGATGGAGTATTTGCATACCAGTCTTAGTCTCTGATTAGAAGGCACATCTTTTGTGGGCCATTTTAATATTTGCTTTCTTGTTGAATTTTCTTATTTTATTGTTTGACTGTTTCATATATTCATATATGAATAGAAGTGATTTGCAGCTCCTGTTTCCATCTCATCTCTGTGCTCATCCCATCTCTCTGAAATACTTCTTCCCCAAAAGTTCCCCTCCTGCTTCCCTATCTTCTTTTTACGCGTGATCCACTGAGCTTAATTATAGATTCTTGCCCAAGTGCAGTGAAAAGTTATTTTCTGGAGCAAGCACTTCTCAGTAACTATACCACTGAAGAAATTGACATCTTCTCCCCCTTTTGGAGACAGGCATTCTATGGCACCAAACACAAATAAAAACAATGTGTTGCAATATTGTTATATTTGCTCA